AAAGAGCCTGTCAGTAAAAAAAGATTCATCTGAATAGATCACGCACGTCACAAAAAAAGTGGTTCCTCTTTCTTTTTTTGTCTGCATGCCCCTCCCACCCTGGGCTTCCCAGCACCTGCTTGTGGTAAAATAATATAAACAGAATTGCAAGATTCCTCAGCATTAGATGTTGCCTGACAGCTCCAGCTAAGCACTGCCAGCTCATCTGGTTTTCTCTCATTATTTTTGTTTCTTGATCCCTGACACACATCCAGCGAGCCTCTGCAGCATCCCGAGGTGGTACCATACCTGGTGGAAGACCTCCATGTCTTTTTGCCCTCCCATGATCTGAAAATCAGTCATGCTTGCCAGAGCTGATAGGAATCCAGGGTTGTATCTTGTGGCCCACCCCTTTCATGTAACCCTCAGCTGGTGGAGCCACATACTAGCATGTACTGAAGTACCATCCAGTAGTAACACTTTGGAGCACAGGTTTGGATCCATTGTTAATACTTGTTGCTATTGTAAAATTTAGTTGGTGTTCCCGCTGGAGAGATCAGAGGGGTATGCTCCAGTGACACCCAGGGTACAAGCAGCATTCCTCAGTGCTGAAATGAGAGTGTCGTTCTTGCAAAGTGGCAATCTCACTAGCAGTTTGTTGCCTCCTCACGCTCTCGACTGTCTTCAACTAGCAGAAAGTAATGGCCAACAGATGTAGAAAAGGTATCATCTTGGGAAAGCTCTGAAGACCTTATTTTTCTGGTTTTCCCTCATGCACCCCCAGAACATCCCTTGTATAAATCAATGTTTCTGCATTACATACCAAAGCTTTTCTGTGCTGTCTTATTCCAACAGTGAAATCAAAGTTCACTTACCTCCCTGCCAAGGTTGGGATTACAGAAACCTTACACGCATCTCACCCTCCTCTCTCGCTGCAGTCACTCCAGTCCAATAAATAAATACTTGGCCGAGTTTTACTGCCCTTTACCCAGTTAACTAAAAACAAATGCCTTCTATTTTGTTAAAGGCAAGTCATGCCTACTTCTGTTGCTCTAGCCAGCAGAGTTTCTTAACCAGCTTGGCTTCTGAGGGACTGATTCCTTTTTAGTGACTCTGAAGCAGTTACTAAAGCTTTCTGTGATCAACGTGTGAAAAGAAAATAACATAGTCATGGGCTCTAAGGAGAGGAAATAGCTGGTCATACCTTTACCAAGACTACAGGTGACCCACCTTTGCTCTCCTTTGCTTAGGAAAACCAGGGTGAAAGATGTGATGGAGGGCAAAGGGACAGGGGGTGAAAGAGTTTGAAAAGTAAAGAGCTCTTAATATTACAAGCTCCTATATTAAGGTTATCTAGTTGGTTTGGGTTTTTTTCCTTTATGGATAGTTAATTCAAAATGCTTCAGCACTGTGTCTGAGCTTGGTTTGGCTCCTCAAGAGGAGAAAATGCAGGGCTGCTCATTCGTGTTGTTTCAGAGCAGGCGTAAAGCTGATCCTGCCACATGCTCAGCCACTCGTAAGGCTTGGTGGTTACCTCTCATAGCACATACAGGTCAAAGTGTTGATGGAGAAGGGCTGCTAGTGTGTGACTGCAGCACTGGTGGGCCGCATCGTGTTTGCCCAACTTTCCTGGGTGGTCGCCTGGCTTGTACGCAGCACATGGGAATAGATCATCTGGAATGTGAAACCATGCCTCCTGCATTTCTCCCTCAAGTATTTTATAGTTTTGACTGGCATGCGCAAAGGAAATGAAGAATAATAGAAAAAAAAAACACCCTTATATAACCCTTCAGCTGTGCTTCCTTTCCATACCAGGGTTTTGCATTTAGAGTAAAAAGACCAGTCTCTGTTACTGTGCAAGTATTTTTTTACAGTTTAGTGATGAGGTTTTTGGTAAACAAGTGAGGGCATATTTCCCCTCACACTATTAAACTCATCTCCAGTTTAGATAGCAGATGCTTTTGTGTGTCTTCACTCAGAAACTGCATTGATGTGGGTTTAGTGATTGGGTACTCCAATTCTTAAAAATTTAAAATATCCCTTTGTCCTAGGTAGATTTATTTGATCCCCGGTTTAACAGAAATAGGTTGCGAAGGGATCTTGAGTTTTTTGTTGTTCTTTTTGGTAATGATGTTGTAAACCACTAAGTATCCAGGCTTTTGTAAACCCCGTATGTGAGTGCAATGAGAGCGTACGGTGAGGAAAGAAGAATGTATGAACAGCTTCTCTCTTTCCTTGTTATTTAGACATGGCTCCCACTTACTCACTAGCTCTGTGATCTTAGCATCTGTGTAAGAGAGAAGCAGCATGTCTTTTCAGTTCCTTCACGGAGAGAAAAGACAGGGAAGTCCTTGCCAGCAGGACTCCTTTCTCCCTGGGATTCAGCTACACAGCCTGGAAGAGGCAGCCTGCACATGTAAGGAGTTGTCTTTTCAGAGCATGTTCAGGATCCAGCTTTGGTCCACCTTGTGAATCAGCCATTTAAGGATCCTTTGTGCCGCCAGAGCAGTTACCTCCCCCCCGAGAGCAAGAGTGAGAGCAAGAAAAGCTACAAACATTTGGAAGGGGCATTGGAACAGTAATAGTACACACGTTAATGCTGGTAAAGCAGTGCAAAAGCATAGGGGGTGAATGGGCATGAGACAGTCAAAAAGACATGCTTGCTTTTCCCCCAGCTGTATCCTTGGAGGTAGCCTCATCCTTCAGGAACATGGTCCTGGTTTTGTGAGGGCTGCCAAATGGCTCAAGTCATTCTGTGAGCTTTGTGAATCTGGGGATCAGCAATTCAGTGTTTGCAAGGTGCCTTGTAGTCCTCTGCTGGGAACATGTAAAAAGTATACATGCAAAAAGTACCCCTGCCTTTGCAGTAGCTTTCAAATTAAATACCTCCTGTTTCATTAACATGACTGCTCCCTAGCCTGCTTTGTCAGCAGCTCACTGAAATGCTTCCCAGTGGCTTACAGTTCTTGGTTTCATCTGGCAAGAGCAACCTGTAATCCAGGGGTGTACAGGTAAGGGAGCCTTTCAGAGGCTTGTGGAAAAGAAATGATGCATTCAACTTGATACTTAGAGAAGGTGAATATTCTGCCTGTTTTCCACTGTGTCATACTATTCAGTTTTGAAAATTGTGGCTTGCATTTATCCTCTCAATAGAACAAGGCACTCCTCTTGGGCTCCTGGAGGAGATCCAGAAGTGTACACTTAATTGCTTTGTGAATGATGTGAAGTCTTGGAATGCAATCTAGCCATTGCTCATTAACTAGCTGAACCTATTAAACCTGGACAGCAAGCAGGACTGAGTCGGCCGCCCTTGATTGCAGGCAGCTAATGGAGCTGTGGGAGCAAGCTGTGACTGCAGAGCAGAATTGGCAGTAGACTCCCATCAACCTTCTCTGTTTTGAACTCTCCCTGCACTCCATTTAGACTTCTGGCTTGGAGACAGATGATTTCAGAGCAACAAGGCGGGGGGGGGGGGAAGTGGAGGGTAGGAAGCATTGTCTTCCCAGCTATGTTAGCTTTGATCTGAAGTTAAAAGCCAAACAGAATTCAAATGGCATTGGTAATTCGACATTTAAACCTGCAGAAACAGGGAGATTTGTCATTTGGCTTTGATTATCGATTGGGTCTCACACAGATGGTTCTGCTATACAATGCTAAAACAAAAGAAAATGGCCAAATAATGTGACTCGGCAGCTCCTCTGTTTTTTACCTCTGAGGGAATCAGCTGCTTTTACAAAGCATACATATAGGTGGCTTGGCACTCATGAAACATATTCTGTCTCGCAAATGAGAATTGTAGCACTTTCTGGCATCTTAATGTCACACTAGCAGCACAGAAGAAAACAAAATTCACTGAATCTTAACTGACTAATTGAAGGTTTGCTGGGGTCTTTTTGGTAGCTTGAAGAAAAATGAAGAAAATTGGGATTTGCCCAGGAAACTTGAAGCATTTAACCTTTCAAACACATAAGGGCCTAACTGGAGATGCATGCAGCCCTGACTATGTAGCATTTACCTCCGGAGCTCTCCTGGCGCTGCGCCGGAGCATTGTTTCAGAGCAGTTTGTGTTGCTTCCTAAATCATCAGCATCTCATCCTTCAGCACTCACATGCCTCCCATCCAGTTGCACTTTGTGCCCAACCTTATTTACCTTGTGGGTTTTGCCAGGATCACAGCTTGGTGGTGTGGCTTCGAGCCCAGCCAGACCATCTGTCAAGGAGAAGGGGAGGAGAAGTAGTGGTTTTGACATGTTGCCTTGGAAGAAGGGCATGTCCAAATGTGCTCTGAAATCTTTGTTCTACTTGCTTGTTTGATACTTTTGAGCCACTGTATATTATGGATTCCCCCCCTCCCCCTGTTGTTTTGCCTTAATTTCCCTGTTGTGGAGAGATCATTTCATTCCTAGTCTGGATTCGTACATTTTTGTTTGTGCTGCTGGCAGATCCTATCAACACCCACTTTTCTGTGATACTTAAACTTTAGCAGATAAAATAAAAATCTTTGGTGTCATAGAACACTGACTTGCTTGTAAAATAGTTCCATATACCGGAGCTGCTATTTAAAAATATTGTAGGAGTCTAGTAATACATTAGCATTTTATGCATTTCACTCTGAGCAGTCCCAAAGTACTTTAAACTGTAGTGTGCACATGCAGCCCTGCTGAGATGAAGTCTCCTGGACAGAGGCTGTAAATCAGCCCTGCATTTGCTGAGAGTGCAGGGAGCAATGGATGTGAGCAGCTTGAAACAAAACAGCCAGAATAAACTGCCTTCAGGAGGAAAATGCTATGAAAGCCATCAGTCTTGATGTGTGACAGCCAGGGTTTCAGCTCGGGATGCTGCTGGAGTTGCCCACCATGGGATTGCTAAGATGTGTGTACCCATACTGGGACTGCTTAGCCTCCCTGCACCTTGCCACAGCTGCGGGTACAGCCCCAGACCAGCACTCGAAGCTGGGTAGTTGGAAGGGTGACTGTTGAACAAGTGTATGCATGGGCTCTGTGTTAATAACTTGTTGCCTTTCTTCACAGCATTAAAAGCAAAGAGCCCCTTAGTTTGTCAGCAGCTACGAATGGAGTAACCTGCTTTGGCTGTAGGTTAAAGTGGGCTGAGTCGAATTGTGGTGGCCATGCACCCAGAGCAGCGTACAGATGGGCAGCTGCTGCAGGTCCTGTGGTGGCTGGTGATTTCTTACGCGCTCCCAAAGCGTCTGTGTCCCTGACATGTGCGAAGTGTGTATGTCTGCATTATCCTAGGTATCCTTCAGCCCATTTTATATTTGGGTTCCTTTAAAATCAGCGTGTGAGATGCTGTCAGATTAGCTATTTTATACTTATGTTGGGGGAGGGATGTAAAGCTTTACTGTGAGGGTAACAAAACCATTTTCAGATGATTGAGACGCCACTTACATCGTTCTGGGAAATTCGGCCTTGCAGAGGCTAGTAAAAACTAAAATTCAAGCTTGTGTGGTGTTTAGCAGAACTAATACCACGTAGCATTTTCTGGTTATCATTTCAAAACCTCGGTGACATTTTATCTGAATGTCCCCATACAGGCGCCATTATTGACGGGTCAGAATCTCAGGAGCAGCCGGGGGCAAACGGCAACCTCACTGGTGTATGAGGGCTCCATCTTCCAAAAGGAATTGCATCACAGCCAGCTGTGATGTCAGAGCTCAGGGTTCAGTGGGTTGGCAGCAGCTTCCAAGTCTGGTGTTTCAAACCAAGCAGCACAGCAGCCTGTGTTCCTTTTTTGTTCTTTAAAGAAAATGATTAGTCCTTTCAGCTTTAAAATATCTCTAAAAGAGAGAAAAGAAAAAAAAGGGGGGGGGGAGAACTATTTTATTTTCGTTTGCCATGACTGTTAGGCAGAAAGAGCCTTCTGATGCTTTGAGTTGGGAAGTAATTAGTCTTGGGAATGTGAGATGGGTTATAATCTTAATGTCATTTTACCATTACTAAAATAAGCTAATTTTGTCCTTTGCTAATCCATGCAAATCCCATTGATTTAATAACATTGTATGGATGAAAATAAGAAATATGGCTGGCCTATATTTTGGGATCTCCTTGCCTAGTGTAAAAGCTTACAGAGCACATTGTTTGATGAAGCAGCCATCCCCCTCATATGCTGGAGCACTGCTACTAAGTGCTGGCACAAGCCAGAGCATCGCCTGTAGCTGTTGCTGTTTCAGAGCTAGCAGGTGAAGCACAAACCCTCTCATTTCCCTAGAGTATGTGTATGTGCAATTTGTCGGTACGTTTACAACAAAATAGGCTAAGAGCAGAAAACATGTCTAGTGATGGTGAAACCTGCTTTATATGAAATGAGAGGCTTCAAAAGCTTACGCAGATCTTGAAAAACAAAAAATGCTGGACCAAACATTGCTATTTCAGTCAAATTTAGAACCTTCACCTACTTAAACAGAAACACATTTAGGTCAATGCTTTGTGCTTTGCAAAACCGTCTCACTAATCTCCTTCAGAGCATTTCTGACTGTGATTTAGGTGGCGGGGGGGGAGGGAAGTGCTTCCAGGCTGAGACTTGTAGCTAAGTTGTCATATGGAGTTAATCTGTTGAAAGGCTGAAGTAGATAGGAGCTGAATCCTGAAACCTGCTATTTACTGGCGAGTATACTTGCATGTGGGTAGTTATTATTTGGAAGCATTCAGCCAAGAGATCCAGAAACTTTTGGTTTTTAAACTGTTTGCCTAAACCGTGAAAGCAAATTCTAGTTGCCTGGGTTGATCTTGCTTTGTTTGTGTGTTTCAGCAAGATTCAGAGAGGTTGTGTCAGATGAGCTCTTCTATACGCAGTTTCTTGCATTCGTCAAGTAAGTGGAGCAGAAATACGGCTTCCTCCTTTCTCTGCTCCCTTTTCCATTTAATGAAATGGGAAATGTTGAAACTACTGGAAACCTTGATGTGACATTTCTTGATGCAGTGATGCTGTCTCTTAGGTTTGCGTCCTGTAAGCAAGCTACAAACATCAAAAGCTCCTGTGTCACTGGTGGTCTTCAGTGCTGGTGGTTTTATGAAGTTGGTAAGGAATAAATAAACAGGGTAATATATCAGACTGATATATTTTAAAACATGCGATAAAGAGTACCTCCTTGGCAGGTGATATTAGTGTTAAAGCTCTCCGTTACTATAAAGGAGTTTGAGTCTGCAGTCGGAAGACTTTGGATAATGGGAGATAGGATAGGGATTTAGAATCTCTAACCAGCATCCTGTGAGGAAAGGCTCTAACAAGACTGTAGCTGGTGCAGTTGTGATTGCAGTGTGAATGTGGATGCCACGTAGGTGAGACTGAGCCTCCTAGGAATGAATGTTGGTGCTCTGTTTTCCATGGAACCCCCATGTGCTCACCCGTGTCAGTATGTATGGCTGCCACTCACCTGCTAATGAAGACTGACACAAAAATACTCTGCAAGGAAGTCTTCCCTTGGCATTCATTCCCCAAGTATTTCTTCTTGTGTCTGCTCAACAGGTGCTAAAATGGAGTTGCAGAACTGAGGGAGTTAAACTAAGGAGGAGGTGGCCCTGTGTCCTTTCCAGGCTTCCCAAGCATCTCAGTTGCTTGCTTTTGCGGGCAGGGATTGGGCCCCATTCCTGTTTGGGTTGATGCTTCAGTTCTTGCCTTTACATGTCTGCTTTATCCGCAAGCAGTAAAATCAAAAGCTGACAACAGACCTGATCTTGATGGAGCACTGCAGCGGTAGCCTGGCTTATCTGGAAGTACAGATAGTATTAAAATGTGCTCTGTCAAAGAGGGCCAATTGTCAAGAGGTGGAAGTGAAACTGCAGCACAGTCATGCACAGCTTTGCTGTCTAGCCATTATAAGGCCAAGAAAGTTAGGTATCACAAAATTAAAATTCATAATCAAAACAAAAGTACTGTAATTGCCTGGGGCAACAGAAGCTAACTGTTCTCTTGCAAATTTGAAATAGTCATTTAAGTCTTCCTTCAACTTCCTCTTTTTATTGTTGTAGACCTAATAGCCACAGATTGTTGTGACACCTTGCATTCACTCAGAACCTACTCTTCCCTAGGCAAAAAGTACATTGGAAGTGCTCTCCTTGAGACTTGGTGGGGAGTTAGCACAGATAGGTACCGGCTGTGTCCTGTATCCACTTGCTGATTGCTCTTTCTTGGCAGAGGGTAACTCGGCAGTGTGATGGTCTGTGTTTCAGAAAGTCCAGGAGTGTTGCTATAAAGGCATTTTAAAGTCTGGATTTGAACAAGTGGATTCAAGAGTCTTCCAGTGTCAGAAACACAGGGCACTTTGTATGTGCTTTGTACTTTGGAAAAAAAGCTGTGTTTTCTAAGAAGAAATTATGTATCCGATAACTGCAAGTGGCAAAATTACTTAACTTTCCTCAGAAATTTACACTGAACAGTACTTTAACCACCAAATTTTAATTAAACCCATCTTACAGACACCTGTTATAGTGTACACAGCTTTTACACATGTGTAAGCTGAGGGACAAAGAAGTTGCTGAGGGTTATACGAGAAGGTTTTTAACACAACCCAGGTCCTTCTTGTTTGCTTTAGCCTTTACATGGTTGGTTGTATGTTACAGTGTGTTAGCAAGAAGGGATGACATGTGGGTGGTTTGTCTTTTTTAAGGCAAGCTTGGTTAAACTTGCTTGGTCTATATTTATACTACTTGAGAGCTGGTTATCTGTGAGTATCATCGCCATCTCTGGGTTTTACAATCTTCTGAATGTTCTTCCGTGTTAGTGTCTTCTGTCATTCTGCAAGTTTAAAAGGCTGACACTGATTTTCAGGTACCTCAGATAACAGCATTTTTGTCTCATTTTTTAACCAGAAGATTCTCTTTTAACCCTGAACTCAGTTTTCTGCTTCTCCCTTCTCCCCTGTCTCCCACTCCATTCGCTAACTTGGCTGATGCCAAGGATGACACCCAACAGTGCAGATAGTGCACTGACCTAATTCATTGATCATCCTCCAGATTTACATAGAGAGCAGTTCATAATGTGCTGGTGTGGTCTACATCTCTTGTTTGGTTGATAGGTACCCCCTGCAATTTTGCTTTTAGTAAGTGAGCTAGCAAGTCCTGGGTACTCATCCTCTAGGTTAAATTTCCTTCCTCTCTGGAGCCTGTATCCCTGAAGGACTGGGCTTTCTGCAATGATGAGCTACTGTTACTTTCAACACTGCTGGCCTTTTGTGGCTCTCTCTTGAATCCTGACTTTTGAATGTTAATATTTTAGGTCTGTAGCTTGGCCATCCACATACGAAGCCTGCTCTTCCCTTACAGTTTACCCACTGTCAGGTTCCAACTGACTTTGTCACATGGGGCGTGAATGTAGATAAACGTCTCTCACGTGAGGTAGTATAAATTGTTGGCAAAAGGGACCTTCCTTTTCATTCTCCATCTGCTGAACCAAATAGCACCATAAGTGTAGAAGAATATGAGCTAGATCAGTAGCCAAAAAAAAAAATTTTCCGATTTTTTTCTCCCAGCTTTGGTAGGTGTTAAGTTTCTGTGTTACACTGTATTTAGGGAGTCCTAATGTGAACCTGTAGAAGATTTGTGTAGTGATAACTACTAGCATACTAATGCTGGGGACGAGGGAGGAAGGCAATGCAAAATGTCATTCTGAAGACGGTAGGAACAATTCACAGCAGCTCTGGAGACAGAACACAGCTGCTTCTGAGATACAAGATGTGGTTTCTTTTTTAAGCCAGGTATTGAAATGGCTGCTGTTCCTGTAAAATGTGAGTACTCTGCAATCTTTTCATCTTGCAACATCCTTATCGAGTAGAACGTAGATGACAGGAAAACTGCTCTGTTCCCTTAGCAGTTGGCGGTGCATGGGTGCCGTCTAGCCCAATGACCAGAGCAAGGTGAACTCATTGAGACAAGGTTATAGATTCATATGACCCAAACCAAACTGGCCAAATGACATGGTTGAGATGAAAAGCAGTAATACTGTGTTTGGGGTTCAGCTACAGGCAAAAATCTGTCCTTGGAAAAGAGGTGAATTAGAGGAGGATGGTGAGGTAGCTGTTCCAGCAAAACACGTGCCAGGTGGGTGAAATAGTGATGCAACCTGCTTTGCTGAAAATCATGAGCCAGGCAAACCTCTGAGAAGTTCTTCAGGGATAAATTTGGGAAAAAAAACAATCACCAAGCATTGAAAGTAGGTTTCTGGAACACTGGAGGAAAGGCTGCCACAACAGAGGAGATGCAGGTGAAACAGAGAAACAAATACATTAAGTAAAATCCTTTGAGTAAGCAAAATGTCTGTGACCAGGAATTGATGAAGAGCAATCTAAGAATGAAAACAAAGCTATAATATATTCACAAAGCAAGATGATTACAACACAGAGGGAGTAGCATTAATTATGACTTCCAAGGCAGAAAAATAGCTCATAGACTGGGGAACAAATTAGCAGTCGATTGCTCTGAACTAGATTTCAAACATATTACATGAAATGACAATTACACAGTGTTACCAACAGACAACCACTATGGTGAGATATGAGCTATCAGGAAATTGGACCAAATTCCTCAGCCTGATACCTGCTTACTAACAGGGAGACTTCCTTCTCGGGGTTAGGGACTGTGGCAGAATGGAGGAATCAATAGCCAAGTGTCATCTTCTGTCTCCAAAGCAGTAGCGTAGGGCCTGGCAGAGCTCTGGTGGTGCATGGGCATGGTGTAAAGGTGTCTCCAGAGCAGCTGGTGGAATTGTTGTGGTCTGGGTGTATTGGAGGTAAACACAGTTAACATCTTCAGCAGATCTCCATGTGCAGTAGATGTGTAATATTTTTTGAAACAGGATGAAGAAAGAAAACTGTAGGAGAGCTAGTAAAAGAGGTGCTTCTTTTGTGTTTACTACCAAATGAACAAGGTGTAATTTGCTGAAAAATGTAACTGCTTTTCAGCTTAACAAGCCCAAATAATGGGCTTTCCAAGGGTGCAAATATCAAAGCCAACATTGGACATTTAGATGCATCCAGCAAAAGCAGCAGGAAAGTCTGTGTTAGAACAAGAGTAGAGGGGCCCAAGAGAAATATAGCAGATAGCTGATCTAGTTCCCAAAAAAAGGTGTCCCCTCCACTGTTGTCTGCATCTGCCACCACCAGTGTGCCTGTCCAAGATGAACCTGTGAAAACTACTTAGTGAGAGGAAAAGAAGGACGATGACAGGAGGAGCACCATTGACCACAACTCTTTGGGTGCGGCCGTCCAGTCAGTTTTTTATCCACTGAGTGGTCCACCTATCAAATTGATGTCTCTCCAATTTAGAGACAAGGATGTCCTGTGGGACAGTGTCGAACGCTTTACTCAAGTCCAGGTAGATGACATCAACTGCTCTACCCCTGTCCATCAGTTCTGTAGGCCAGTCACAGAAGGCCACCAAATTGGTCAGGCAGGATTTCCCCTTCGTGAAGCCATGCTGGCTGTCACCAAGCACCTTGTTGATTTTCATGTGCCTTAGCATGCCATCCAGGAGAATTTGCTCCAAGATTTTGCCAGGCCCAGAGGTGAGACTGACTGGTCTATAATTCCCCGGGTCATCCATTTTCCCCTTCTTGAAAATGGGGGTTATATTTCCCTTTTTCCAATTGTTGGGAACATCAAAAGGACATGGAACTGTTGGAACAAGTTCAGAGGAGGGCCACGAGGATGATCAGGGGGCTGGAGCACCTCCTGTATGTAGACAGGCTGAGAAAGTTGGGGCTGTTCAGCCTGGAGAAGAGAAGGCTGCATGGAGACCTCATAGCAGCCTTCCAGTATCTGAAGGGGGCCTATAGGGATGCTGGGGAGGGACTCTTCATTAGGGACTGTAGTGACAGGAAAGGGGTAACGGGTTCAAACTTAGGGGAAGTTTAGTTTGGATATAAGGAAGAAATTCTTTACTGTAAGGGTGGTGAGGCACTGGAATGGGTTGCCCAGGGAGGTTGTGGATGCTCCATCCCTGGCGGTCTTCAGGGCCAGGTTGGATGAAGCCTGGGGTGATATGGTTTAGTGTGAGGTGTCCCTGCCCATGGCAGGGGGGTTGGAACCAGAAGATCTTAAGGTCTTTTCCAACCCTAACTATTCTATGATTCTATGACTTTGCCAAAGTACAGATGCTGTCTCATAGCACAAAGGCAGATGTGGAAAGCTCACTAAAACCAAAATTTGGAGAAGCTTCAGGTAGGGACCTTGCCGAAAAATGATTGAGTGAATAGTTGCGAAGTTCTTCAAGAAATATGGGAATAGGAAAAATGTAATAATCTGACTGATGGATAAATTGCATTCCAGTTAAAGTATCCTAGAAAGGTGATATAAGTGGTTGCAACAGTTGAAGAGCAATTGTTTCTTTCAGTGGTACAGTCATGAAAAATGAAGAAAATAAATAAATAAAACCAACCCAAACTCCAGAACAAAACACAGATTCTAATTCTTTGTCTTTCAGCTTCAGCTCAGCCATTTCAATGTAGGAGATAAAGGAATGACCAGATTTTTTGATAGCTTCTCCTGTTCCATGGCTTGAGGCAGATTCCCTGCCAGTCTCATGCAGTTGTTTCTTTGGGGTTCTTTGGGAGGGTAAGGGTATTTTTATTGTCTTTTTCAGACCATTATTCTACTATTTTCAAATACATAGTTAGGATAATTGTAAAGTGTTGACAAGCTTGAACTACTGAAGTAAATGGAGAGCTGAGTGGAAAACCAAGTGGAGGTTCATACGTTGGTGCAAAACCAGTGTGCCTTCTGTCCTCTCTTTATGACTGCTGTTGATTTGATGTTGACATGACCACACCACCATAAGAAAAAGTACAGCTATTGAAGTGTTACATCAGTTAGATTGAGCATCCTGAGCATGGGATGCTGAAGTGAGAATTCAGAAAACATGTAAGTAACGACTGCCTAGCATTGCAGCACTAATAATAACTTAGGAGAACAAATCTCTGGAGACCTTCAGCAAATCCCAAGTGAAGCATTATATAAAAAGGCAAAGGAATACAAGGAATGAGTCAATTTACATGTCTTGGCAGAAACACACCAACCAGTGGGGAAGTCCAAAAGGAAATGTCACCAACTGGCAAGGCAACAGCTGCGTTTACCAACTTCAACAAAATTAGTCATTGAAAATACAAATGTAAAGACCAAACTAGGAGTCTTCCACTCAGATGTTATTTCCATTTTAACCT